TATTAAACACACATATTTCCAACAGACAACGGAAAATATTCTAAAGATATATGCAACTGCCGTAAGAATACGATCTGTCCCTTAAAAGGCCAATGTATGACGGATAATATTTTATACCAGTAAAGATACTGAACTTTATTTTGGTTCCACGGAAAATCCTTGGAAATTTCGTTCTTACCTTCATGAAATGATCTTAAATAATTTAAAAGACAATAACAGCACTGCTCTCTCCAAATATTTTTGACAATTAAATAATGATGGCATCTCACCATCAATGAACTGAGAAAGTATATCTAGGGCTAAGGCTCATAACTGAAAAGGAAATAAATGCAATTTATGACTTGCTGAAAAGCTGCTTATCTTAAAACACTTAAATAACCCTAACGTATTAAATAAGAGAAATGAATTTATGATTACATGTTGGCATAAAAATAAAAATCTGCTTAAATACGTTGATCCTGATTAATGTTTTAATTTTTAATTTTAATTTTGATTTTAATCTTTTATTTTAATTTTTATTAATTTTTAATTCTTTAATATTTATTTTTAATGCTAATTGCGGACTATTTTTAGTATATTACTAATCAATATATATTCATGTTTTAATAAGAACAAGTAATGTACCTTTCATTATATATTTTTAAAAACCACGTTATGAATATTCCCTACTCAAATATATCATTTTAAAATTTTCTTTTTTTACATGCGTATATAAATCCCTTTAATTTTTAAAATTTTAAAATTAAGGAAAGCTATACTCCCAACGTAATGTATAACTACGCCAATATTGTGATAACCACATATATTATAATTCAAAATTGTGTAACGGTCAGTCCATTCTCAGCACCTGAAGATTGCGTCAGTGTCATGCTAGCGATGAGATATATATATATATATATATATATATATATATATATATATATACCGTTATGCAAATTAATTGAAAACGACCGCTTTAGTTTCCTTTCCTTCTCCCTACGGTCAGTTTTAGACCCACTGGAGTGACAGGGTGTAATTGATTTCTATTTTTTCCGCAATGGTGTGCAGTAATATGAATCTATTTTCTGGTTGTATGATGAAATCTGTTTGGCCGTTAAAAATCTTACATCAGATTTTTATTAAGCCCAGACACTATTATCTCGACTGTCGATTAGTTGTCCCATGGCCATTGCCTGCGATGGACGTTACTTCAGGGAACTTAAGAAAATTGTAACACTGCACGAACACGCTGGCAATCTTTACTAGTGAGCGAATCAAAGTACTATAGCCATTACTGGCGTTATTTGCATACATTCGCTGCGGATAGCCATGAAAGGATGTTCACTTATCTTGATTATTGAGCACTCAGTATAGTTCTCTTACGCAGTTATTGTGACAAGCTGAGTCAAGTGAGATCAGTAAACAATGGCGTTCTCTTCCGCAGCGAATGTATGCACACAACGCCGGTAATGGCTGCCGCCAACGACGCGAATGAATCCGAAATTTTACTGTTGATAACTACAAAATGGTAGATTTTATCAAATTTATCAAGCTAGATTCGAATCAAGCATGTAAAATTACACATAAATGTAAGTATTCTGGAAAAATTTAACTCGAGCTGAGCGCGGGTGCTAAACTGCAAATTAACCAGTCAAATTATCAAAAGTGGAAAGAAATCTAGAGACGTGAATTCTACCGAATCCAAAATATTTTATTGAGTTATCGACAGTAAAAGTGCGGTTTCATTCTAGTTGTTGGCAGCAGCCATTACTGGCGATATTTGTATACATTCGTTGCAGAACAACTATCAGTGGGATATTCACTTGTATTGATTATTGCGCATGCAATATAGTTCTCTTGCGCAGTAATTGAAACAAGCTGAGACAAATAAGATCAGTAAACAAGGCCGTTAACTACGTTCTCTTCCGCGCTTAGTTTTTCTCAGCGAATGTATGCAAACAACACCAGTAATTGCTGCCGTCAACGACGCGAATCAATAAAAAAATTTGCTGTCGATAACTCCAAAACGGTAGATTTTATCAAATTTATCAAGCTAGATTCAAATGAAGCATGGACAATTACACATAAATGTATGTATTCTGGAATTTTTTTAATAGGAACTGAGCAGGGGAGCTAAACTGCAAATTAGCCTTAAATATATCCTCCATTTTTTTTTCATACTCGCCTAAACATAGTTGTTAAAAAATTTATAACTGCCTAACACACGAAAGAGAAATTACAAAACCTCCTACAGAAGGTAGCGAAGGAGGGCGAGAAGAAGGGACTAAGCATAAGCTTATTTATGACAGGTTTCATAATTTATTATAAAAGCATTTAATAAACTTTCCAGGAGAGATTAAAGACAAGAGGGACTGAAGAACACGACACATAAAATATCTAGGGAGCTTATTTAAAGGAAAAGACAAAAATTATAAGGCGTTAAAAAGGTGAGGAAATTTTTTAAGCGATCAGGTCGCCAATATCCTAAAGCAGTCATGGGCAAAACTGCGGCCCATGAGCC